TGACCCACAATCCAATATGTGTGTGCAGGAGGAGTCCAAGCTCCAGGAGGCGTTGCGTGAGGCCCCTCCCAGTGAGCGCCAGGAGCTGATCGAGCAGCACGAGAAGAACATCAAGCGGCTGCAGGACCTCATGGAAGAAGAGCAGCACTCACAAGCAGAAGCCCTCAAGGTAGATTGCTTCAAAGCTTTCCTGGCACCGGCTTCTAATCTTGCTGTGTGTTTCGTTCAGGCTCAGCTCGCCGAGCGCCGCAAGCGTCGTCTTGCTGCCGTGAGCAAACGCACTGAAGCGGAGACAGAGATGATACTCATCCGGAGAGAGCAGGAGAACGACGCAGCAGCTCTGCAGCTCGAGGCCATGGCCGAGGCACAGGAGTATCGTGATGACGTCCTGACTGCGCACGAAGAGAACCGACAGAAACGGCTGCAGGGACGCGAGAACGACATTCACAAGGCGACGGAGAAGCTGCGCGACCACATCCAGGCCCAGCCGGCGGCAGATGAGGGTGAGCGCCAGGCGCTGCTCTCTCAGTGGCGCGCCGAGATCCACACCGCCTGGGAGCAGCACGAGGAGAGCGCACAGCAGCAGGCAGCACAGCTCAAGACACGGCTGGAGGCGAGACGGAAGCGCATCGCGATTCAGCAGAGGCAGAAGGCGGCGGAGCAGCGCGCCAAGCACACCGAGGCCCGTCAGGAGCTGCGCAAGGTGGTGGAGGGCAACAAGGAGGCGGAGCGGCACATCCAGGCTGCGGGCGCGGAGGCTGCGTTGGAGAGTCAGCTGCAGGCGGCCATTCAGAAGGTTGGTTTGCAGAAGATGAAGGAGCAGCAGCAGGCCGAGATGGAGGAGCTGCAGCACAAGCACCGTGAGGACGCCAAGAAGGCCAAGCAGGAGTGGGAGGCCGAGCTCAGCCGTCTCAAGGAGGAGCTCGAGGAGGAGAAAGAGGAAGTCAAGGTTGAGGAAGAGGTGCAAATCACCAAGCTCAAGGAAGACCTCGAGGCAAAGTGAGACAGACACACGACAGACATGGACACTGATTGATGGGTGAGACACTTTCTTGTGCCCGCAGCTTGGCTGTCGCCACGACACAAGGTGAGAAGGAGCGGCTCATGGAGGAGCACCAAGCGCAGGTCGCGGAGATCACAGCCGCGATCGAGCGGGAGGAGAACAGGCAGAAGGAGCAGCTCGAGAAGAAGCTCCAGGCTCGGCGTGAGAAGCTCCGAATGCAGCAAGAGAAGCTGCTCCAACAGCAGCAGCAAGAGATGGCCGAGCGGGAACTGCAGCAGGCCAAAGCATTGGAGGAGCTGCAGCGCCAGCTTGGTCGCCAAGCACAGGAGAATATGACAGTGTTCGATACGGGAGACTCGGAAGAAGAGGCGTTCGGTCGGCTGAAGGTGCGTTTGGGGATCGGAGCTTGTCAAGACATAAGTGGATGTGTCCTGCATGCATGTGTGTGTGTGTGTGTGTGTGCAGGGTATGCTTGAGTCTCGTCATCAGCAGGAGACCAACAGCCGCGTGGCGCTGCACTATCGCGAGAAGACGGTCAAGCTCAAGGCTGCCATGGATGCCCTCCAAGTCGAGAACCAACACAAAATCGTGAGTGGCATACTCAGACGGTTGTGCAGATGGAGGAAAGGGCAAGACAGACAGACACGCAATCCGACGAGTGGACATGTGTGTTCAGATGGAGCTCAACAGCCAATACGGCCAACTCATCGCAGGTTCGCACAACGATAAGGGCACAGTAAGACTTGCCACTATCCTCCTCTGCTTTGCTCAGAGGCGGAGTCTCAAGCTGAGGAAACGGGCAGCATGGAGCACCAGCTGGCCGCTGACGATCTCAAGAAGGAGAAAGAAGAAAAGGTATAACACCAGCAGACTGATACCTGCAACACTCTATGTGTGACAAATGGCATCAGTCTGCTGAGCTGAGAGCTGCTCTTGACGAGGAGTATGAGGGCCGGATGGCTGAACAGCGGCGAGTCATCGAGCTTGAGCAGGCGGAGGACCTCATGACTCTGAGGGAAAACCAGCTCTTTGAAGTGCTCGGTGGGTAGACACAACAACCAGCGATCATTCATTTCATTTTGTCAACGTGTGTACCGTCTCCCTTGTGTGTCTATCACAGAACAAATCGCAAGCTACATCCGGTCGGGTCTTGAGAGCGCCATCAAGTGGCAAGAGGAAGCCGATGAAGGTACACACACACACACACACACGATGCATACGCCCTCCTGCTGGTACATTCCTTCCTTCTTTTGCTGTCTCCCTGCCCCAGAGAAATCCAAGATTGAGGGCATTCGTCGTCAGAAGCGAGACGAGGCCAAGAACCGCCTGCAGGAGATCGAGCAAGCCATGAAGCAGAGAGAGGAGGAGGCCCGCCAAGAGATCGAGAAGCAGATGGCCGAGCTGCAGGCCCAGCTGGAGCGAGAGCGCGAGAAGGCTCGTCAGGCTGCCGAGGAGAAAATGAAGGCTCAGAAGGCGAAGCTGCGGGAGGAGCGCCGCCGCCAGCACGAGAAGAATCTCGAGCGCATGAAGGACGCCGGTGGTGAGGTCAAGGACGCCATCCTCGAGCAGCATCAGGCCGAAATCCAAGCGTTAGAGCAGAACCTCGATGTCGAGAGGGCACGGCAGCTCGAGAAGATGAACCAGCGACTGATCGACCGCAAGCGCAAGAAAGAAGCCGCTCTTCAGCAACAGGTAGCTTCGCGCATACAATGAATCCATCGACACACACCTGGGGTGACTGACTGGGTCTACAATTCAGAAAATGGAGGCGTTGATCAATGAGCGTCGTGAGTTGCAGAAGCAGCAGGAGCAGCTGCAGAAGCAGGAGGAGCGCGAGCAGAAGAGGAAGGAAGAGATCCTGGCCAAGATCAGGAGGAAGTCCACTATGCGGAGGGTCTCCAAGAAATGGCATGCTTTCGTTCGAGAGCGCAGAAAAAGCAGGACATCACCAGCTGCGGCAAAGAAGGGTCACAAACAAGAAAAAGCACAGATACTCACAGCCCACCCCACGGTGCTGTCCTTGATGTATGTATGTGTGTGTGGCAGCCCCCGAGTCGCCCAAGCTGCAGAAGAAGGGCACCCGGCACGTGCAGATCATGCTCGAGGACGACGAGGATGAAGAGGAGGAGCTGATGCCGTCGCCAACCAAACCTCCACCTGCACCAAAGGCCGCACCGACCGAAGAGGACATTGCCAAGATCAAAGCCAGGCAAGAATGCCCGAGACACAACATACGGAAACAGCCATGTACCGATTTCTACGCTCTTTGCGTGCAGGGAGCAGCGTCGGGCACAGATAACCAAGGTCGCAGGTCGCGTCAAGACGCTGATCGGTGCCCTCTTCGTGTCGGCCGACAAGGACAAGGAGGAAGAGGCCGCACCGCCACCGCCGCCCGAAGGTGAAGAGGCCCCCATCCTGGAAAGGCGAAGCACCCGGCTGGAGGCACAGCTGGCGCTGAGGGAGCTGCCGCTGCTCATTGAGACATTCGACAAGTAATCAAGAAGACACACATACATTTTCTCACTTGCTGAACATGACCTCGGTCTTCTCCATATGTGCTGAAGGGTGGGTCGTCTGATAATGCGGCTGTCGTCCCTTCTCGGTGCTCTGGGTTCTGAGGGAGGCGGCCCAGGCCCTCTCCGCTCTCCCAGAGGCGTGACTGGATCCATTCTGGGTGCCCGTGGGTCGACCCTCAACCAGTCGCGAGGCGGCCCTGTCATCGTCACGACCTCCGCCGACACAGCGGCCTTCAGGAGACAAGGAAGCGGCGGATCCTCTGCAGCCAGCGGTGTTACCGGTAGTGTGACGAGCCCCCCAGTGATATCTGTTCCTGCTGGTCAAGGCCTATCTCCTGGGGGGCTCGCAGTCCCCAAGCAGCAAGCAGGCAACAGGCTGGCTGTGGGTCAGCGCTCTCAAAACAGAAAGGAGTCATCATTTGCCTTCGCGAGTGAGAAAATACCCTGCAAATCGACCTCTGGTCATATGCATCTCGCCTTCTTTCTGTCTCCGCTATGTGATTTATGCAGTGCTCCCAGGACAAATGGCCCCGGACGAGAGAGCGACAGGGAGAGACAGCCCCGAGCTACGACCCGGTAACACCACCACTAGTACAGGCCGCACATCCCCCCCACCCCCACCTGCACACCCACCCCCAGCAGTCAGCCAACAGACCACACAACCCGCTGCCGCTGCCGGCAGTGGTGGTGGTGGTGGTGCACCGCCAATGATCATAGAACAGCCCCCGGTCGTCCAGAGACACCAGACACGGCCACTGCCCGCTAGTGCCAGCATCGGCGGTGGGGCGGCAGTCCATCGACAGCAGACGAGAAAGGGGGGTGAGAGACGTGTGCGGACAGCCACTAATGAATCGCAAGTGTCAGCTGACGGCGGCGACCGCACACCGGGGCAGCAGGGGCGGCAGCGCAGAGACCGGAGGGGCAGCGCCGCATACTATCTGGGAGAGGCGGATGATGTGGCCACATTCATGAAGAAAACTCCCAGCAGCAGCTCCAGCAGTTCCAGCAGTAATCAGCACCCAAAGTGAAAGTTCTGTCCCTTACAGATTGCAAAAATCTCGCAGCATGCAGACGTGCCTCATTCTATGTGTGGATTGCTTGTCGGTTTCTCTGTCTATCTGATTGTGCATGCAGCTTAGCATGAGTGCATATTCTGTGTGTGTAATTGGAAAGGGTCAACTCTGGAAGACCCTGTATTACCTCTTGGGAAAAGCGGAAGAGCATCGACAAACGAACCAGAGGAAACCGAGTTCCTGCCAAGAGACAACGAGACATGCGGACCGATGGATGCTATGTCATTGTGGCAGTCATATGTGTTTGCGCCAATACGTCTCTTTGTCATATCAACGTGTCTGCGTGTCTGCTGGGTGCGAATGATCACGGTAGACACTAGACAAGGCCGGGCTTTCAGGCAGGCCGTGCATGGACACGCGTGTCTCCAAAGTAGTAAACGTCGACAGCCTGGCGAGGCCAGCGTTTATGAAATGCCTGCGTGCATCTGTGCGTCCATGTGTGATGCCTTTTTCCATCCACACTTTCTGTGGTCTGACTTATTGACAAGTCTACACGTAGACCCCCTCTTGTAGATCAATGGCCCATGAATGGTCTAATTTGATTGCAACTCATCGGGGGGGATCAGCCCATTGTCAGCCCCCGCCGTCAGTGAACGGGTCATTGGGGCGAAATAGGCACAGATACCTGCATGAATGGCTGGACGGCTCGAATTGCTACTGCCTCAGGTATGCGTCGGCCGTATGCTGGTGTGGTGGAAGCCTGGCTTTCTTGGCGTCAATTAGCCCACTGCACTGCTTGATGTCCACGCCGTCTGCGTCACCATCACTTCACATGGCCTGTACACACACATGAATGTGGCTGTATGAATGGGGCTGTCTATGGCTTGGCTGACCTCAGGCAGCAGGGTGTAGGGCCTGTGGCGAGGGGCTCTGACGGCCTGGTCGTTGGTCGTGGGCAGCAGCAACAGAGACAAGTAACCGTCAGTCACTGTCAGTCGGCACACACACACAGCCACGCACATCCGTCCATGTGTCCACACACACGATCCACACACAGTCGCCAAGACATCACACACGTCGTGCAGTGACACACACGCGAGAGTCCACCCAGTAGGCCTACCTGGTCGGATAATTGCAGCAGCAGGTTGATTCGGATGGCCCTTCCGCGGAAGACAACAAGATCACCCGTTGCTTATACGTTGCCTCGCCTCAGACTCGGCCATCGGCGCACTGCAGTGAGAGCCACAGATGGACACATAACAGAAAGCGATACATCCACTCATTGACAAGTGCCTCCGTCTGTCTGTCTGTCTGCCTGTGTGTCTGTCTGTCTGTCTGCCTGTGTGTCTGTCTGTCTGTCTGTCTGTATGCCTGCCGGTGTTCTGCTCACCTAGCTGCCTTCTCATGCGGGAAAAGACTGAACACCCATCTCGTGGCGTCCAACAGGATGTCTGCACGTACAACAGGCGCACCATCCACGCACCTGTCTTGCGTGTCACGACGTCCTCACATCTCACTCACCTGGCGCGTCTATTTCGATGCGGATGGGATTGTCCCAGGTCCCCTCAGATGGCTCGAAAACGTCCGTCACCAGGTCATCAGTGAGACGGTTGCGCGTGAACAGCTCCTCTGCGCCATTGTTCACGTAAGTAAAGCGTGGCGGCAACGGTATGATGTCCTCCTTGAACCAGACGTGTGGGATGGCTGCCCGAGCCTTCACATGCTCTACGATGGCTGCGGTGAATGTCAGGATGCCAGTTTCGTCGAGATATGGCACTCTGAACAGGGAGACCAGCCGGTAGGGCTTCCGTAGCCTACTCCTCTGCCACACGTCCACCCACTTGTAGTGAATCATCGCAACCACCACCCGTGTCAACGGAATGGTTTCATGGAATGTCCTAGGATCGTGTTTACACAGCGGGTCGCGCGTTTCTTTCCCGGCATGCAGCATTCGCGATGCGCCATTTGGGTTATCCTCTTTGGCCTTCATCGGCTCCTCATTGCCGCACAGGAGGCGTCAGAGAGCCTCTTCGCTTCAATTGGAAGCAATGGAGCTGTCACAGCTGTCGCTGACGCCCCCGCAGCCGACGATGAAGCCCTTGAAGACGATGAATTCGACTTTGGTACACACAATGAGCAGTGCCACCCCCAGGGCAGAAGTGAGTTTCATTGTCTTTGTGCGTCTTGGTTTCTGTCTTAACAGGTCCGCCCCAGCAATGGTCACCGAAGGCATACATCTACGCCCACTTCGCGCGATTCAAAGACTCTGAGGATGATGAAACAGAGGGCGCTGCGAATATACAGTCCCCGAAGTCAACTTCAGAGGAGGAGGAGACGTCTCAGACGGACCATCTGAATGGGGCTTCACTGCCTGATCCGAATGTGCAACGACGGCCGAAAGACGCTAATGCTACAATGGAGGAGCCCCCTGTCGAGATCAACGATGAAGAAGAAGAAGAGTTTGAGTACGACACAAGCGAGTCCGTCGACCAACCCCTACCCCTCCGCCCATCACCAGCTCCTCAGCCATCAGACGAACCGCCGCCATTGAATGGAGATGGAGTGGCGCAGCACGATAACACCACTGAAGACAGTGCCACCGATGGCAGCCGAGGCCCCAGCACCATGTCGATTATCACATCCTTTCTGTGGTGGCTCTTCCATTGCATCATCTGGTGGCTGACGAGGGCCATGACATGCGTCATGCTGGGATGGACGGGCGCAGAGGTCGTGGGCTTCGTTATGGCTCTGCCCAGGTCGCCATTGGGGTCGCCCGGCGCCGCTGATGGCGACAAGGGCGATGAGGGGACACAGCAGGGCACATCGCAGTCGCAGCAGGACAGTGAGGGAGGCAGCTCTTCCTTGCAGCCCGAAGTTCTCGACCGATTTACTCTGGCCCTCACATTCGCGTGCAACATCTGGTGGGCTTAAGGGATGCCGGGAACGTACTACATGCATGTATGTATATCGCGTGTCGTGTTTGGTCATTCATGGTCAGGTGTTTCTGTTCGGTGAATTTCTACAAGGTGGGCTTTGTGGTTGCACTGGTGGTCGCTGCCATCAAGACCGGAAGCAGCGTCGAGTGGCAGGTCCGTACGTCACGTGGGCTTGATTGACATTTCCCGCTATCTGTCTGCGCTTTATTCTCGTGTGTTGCCTATCTGTCTGTCTGTCTGTCTGTCTGTAAGTGGATCACCGGTGTGGTGGCTCTGTACATATTCGGCCAGCTACTTGGGTACGATTGGCTCCTGCAGCCCATTCCCTATGTTCCCATCTTCTCGGTCAGCTGGCCACACAGATCACCAGTGATGATTGAATGCCCCTATCTACCTGTCCATATCTCCCTCCCTCCCTCCCTCCCTCCCTGTGTGTATGTTGCAGCTGGTAGTACGGTCCCTTGTGGCTTTCATCAACGCAGTCATGCTGCGTGACCTCGTCGCACCGCCCTCATCCACCACCAGCCGCCAGTGGGCGGACTTCTGCCGCTCGTACGACGCCTCCTTTCTAGCTGCCAACCCGGCCATCGCCAGGCAGGCCAAGGAAGACAAGGACACGGGCGATGGCCGGCCAATATACCAAAACCAATATGATGATGGTATTAGAGGGGTGAAGGAGAGAAAGGGGTAGGTCGACCCAGGTGTATGTGTTTGTATGTGTGTGTGTGTATGTGTGTGTGATAGGTCTTGGTATAGGGTTCAACAGCCCCTGGGTGCTGGTGAGTTCTTGGCTGCTCTTCGCCTATTGGATGAACGTGCTGACCTCCCTGATCATCGCCTTCGACATTGCAGTCTCGTTGGGCTTCACTGTGTGGATCACACAGGTGGGCAGGGCACAACCTGTCTCTCCTTCTCTTCTTTACACCTGTGTGTGTGCGTGAATCATAATATGCCTGCATTGCAGCCTACCTACATGCTTCGCAAGCTGATAGCCGACGAGGGGATGCGGTCATGCTGGTCCTTCACCTTCCTCCTCCACGTCATCATCCTCACACTCATAGACCTACCGTGGATCTCCACACCAAGGGTACCCACACACATACACATACATACGCCTCAACAACAGAAAACCCACCCAAATTCCTCCTGCCCCCCTCTGTGTGTGCAGGCGTGGCGAGATGCGTATTGGCGCTTCCCCGAATCATTCCAGCGGGCCACCCGCGCCACACAGCATCACCATTTCCACTTCCACCACTGGATGCCCAAGATGCCCAAGAAAGCCCTCACAGCCGACACACCTAGGAGTAGCAACAGCACCCTGACGGCCGCCACCGACGACGGCCAACAGCAGCCCCTTTCGGCCACACCAACCCACCGCACACTCGAAGACTTCTTGGACGAGATCTCGATTGCGCGGTTCAACCAAACAGCGCTTCTCGGCTCTGGGCGGGACGGCAGTGGATATTCTTTTCACTACCACACGCACCGGGACGTTCCTCCTCACCTCTCTCTACCCCTCCCGAGCAGCATCGACCTTGACAGTCTCATCAACATGGCGGCCCTCCAGGACACCCTGCAGCTGACCCTCATGGCCGGCCTGGTGAGAGACATGTCTCACCTGCCATATCCCAACCTGGGCGGCATCAAAGTCCCACGCCAGCTGTCGGCGTCGCTTCAGTTCCCTAGGGCGTTCAACATGGACCCCTTCTTTGTGGAGATGTGGACCGAGCTCCCGTTGCCGGTGTGGAGCTCCTACCGGGCGGCGGTGGCGCTGCTGGGTCTGGTCATATGTGCGGTGATGGCCACACGGCGGTATGGGTATTGGGTTGACGGGCCGCACACGCTCATGCAGCCCGGGACGCTGTTCTGTCTCAACGAAATTGTCTTTATCGGTGGGTCTTTTTGTGCACTTTTGGGCAGATCAGATGAAAAAGGGCCTCCCTCCTGGACGGGAGACTGAATGTATGTGTGTGTTGTGTTGTGTTGTGTTGTGTGCAGCCATCATGCTGGACTTTCTTTTCCTGTGTGGGGGCACCTTCTATTGGGCGCACTTCCTGTGTGCCTTCCTGATCACCATGCTGGCGTCCATCCTGCTGGAAAAAGCACAGGACGACTTCGCGGTGAGCATGATATGCGTGCGCCCGGACCCCCACTCTCTCTGTTCCGTATGTGTCTGTCGATCTGCCTGCGTGTGTGCAGAGATGCGAGCCGGCAATAGTCGATGATCTGCATCGCAGCTTCCACTTCAGCCTCTACCTCTCCCGTGTCTCCCTCAAGACAAGTGCCAAGGATCCCCCGCAACCACCCGCAGCAGCCGCAGCCGCAACCGGCCCCAGCGAATGTCAGGCCACATTCACTTGCTCAGACGGCCGCACACGAGGCCTCCTGGTGCGCCCTGCGCCGGGCTATACCGGGCCGCCTCCCGACCTCGGTGATGGGGAGGGCATTCTGCAGTCCGACATTGATGCTCTGACAGCGGGCTGCAGCAGCACCACCGTGTCGCTCCCCTCCTGCATGCGTCGCCTCTTCTGCACGTCGACCTACAGCGGCCTCGAGAACGGCCTGTCGATGGATGTTCCGGTCGACGACGTCTTCGCCGTGGGGCGGGACACATTCGACTCCAGCCACGCGAGATACCCCCACACGCTGCTGACCCTCCAGGCCATCTACAAGGAGTCCGGCAAGCACATGGCGATCTCCCGGCCGCCTCCGCCAGAGCCGCCCGGCATGACGCCGGCGAAGACAGAGGAGGAGATAGCGCGTGAAGCGATGCGGGAGAGGGTGCGGACGGCCATCGAGGCGGCGGATGCGGAGGTGGGGCTGGGCCCCAAGACTTATGGGGCTTGCGGGATGGGACTGAGTCTCAAGGGGGTGAGGCGGGCGGCCGAGAACCTCTCGCGCAAGCCCATGCTGCGGCCTGAGCCATTCGCTGCCAGCAGTGGCAGTGGCAGCGGATCCCCACAGTCTGCTCGAAGGCGGAGCGCAGAGGTAACCAACCCGATCCACACACAACCGAATCGACACACTGGACTTCCTGTCTCCTTGTTTGCAGGAGCCATTCCGCCCAACTACAAGTCGGCAGCCGAGTCCTTCTGGCGGCCCCGAGATGACCTACCCGCGAGAGCAACAAGCCGCGGCCACCGCCAAACCTTCACCCTCACCGTCACCCCCACCGCCCCAATCTCCTGCATCAGACGCCTCGTCACGGTCGACGGCGGCATCGAATGGCCGCAGACAGGGGGGAGGAGACGGCCAAACAAAGAAGACACCAGGCCCAACACCTGCACCGCTATCGCCGTCACGGCCCCCGCCTGCTGAGCAGGCACCCACGAATGACGAGAGGGATGAGGCGGGGCGCAAGGGCGACCGGCGGTTCTCCCAGCCGCCCACGCGGCAGGTGTTTCTCCCCCTGGCCATCCGGGTGCTGCTGCTGTACTGTGTGTTTCGGCTGCTGTCGGGCTACACGGCCTTTCTCATGATGCACAGCCTGCGACGCAAGTACCAGCCGCCGGGATTCTTCTCTGACCCCGCCACCAGCGACATCGGCGGTGTGGGTGTGGGTTTGGGTGTGAGGAGGGTGGCGGATGACGGGAGTGAGCTGCAGGAGCCGGGCTGGAGCTGCCTGGCGGCCGCGCTGCCCCTCATCGACTGCCAGGCACCCTTCCCCTACGCCTATCGCACCACCAACCATGGCATGGTCGCCATGCCCTTCATCCAGCAGTATCCCTTCCTCAACCGTACCTTCAGCCCCCCCGTTGTCCACCTGCACGCGCACCTCTACGGGCCCCTCACACGCAGCAGAGTGGCTGTCGTGCAGCCCCCAGAACTCCTGCAGTGGGCACCATCTAGAAACAGGAGTGCCCCTGCCACCTTGGCATCGTATCAGTCGGCCCCCATGTCCGCCCTTGGCCTTCACTGGCTGGACATGGGCATCAAATGGCTTGTGAGCGGCTTGCTCCCAAGTCAGCTGACCACCACAGAGACGACAGAGGCCTCCTTTGAGGAGCCACCTCCCAGCAACGGCGGACATGCTTTGGACGACCATCTCACATCTGGGCCGCCGAATGGGTCAGAGAAGGTCGCTGGCGGGGAGGAGCGGGCGAGGGCGGTGGAGTGGGTTTCTGGAGCAGCAGATTCCGTCACGGCTGGCAGTGGCGATGTCTCTGCCTCTGTACCTATCATCGCTGCTGACGAGTGCTGGCCCACACGTCACCTGCCGCCCCTCACCTACCCCTTCTGCACCTTCCAGCAAGTCGGCTTCTGGGACCCACTCCCAACCATCGCGTGAGGGAGGGAGCCACATGAAATAAATGCCCACAGACAGACAGCCAGAGAGACGCATCCATTGAAGCACCTGTGTGTGTGTGTGTGTGTGTGCAGGGTTGACGATTTCGACACGGCGAGTGCGTTGTATGGTGCGTGGGTGGGGCCGTGGATGAGCGGGACGCTTGCGCCGCCGCCGGGGCAGACCCCTCGTGGCCCCGTGCAGTTTTATCTCCATTTGCATGCGCACCTCAACGAGACACTCAGCAGGAGGGGGCTGGGGGCTTACAGAACTTTTTGATAGAGCGACGACCTGACACAGTTTGCCGACAGTGGATGAGTGAGTGGATCACATGTTGGTCGATGAGCTAATGGCCAGCCAGTGCAGTTGCGGACAGCTACAATAACATGCGTCAAGCGATTCAGTTGTGACACAGACAGACAAGGAAGGCACAGACAGAATGGACACACACCACACCACCGTCTGTCTCCTATATCGCTTCCTTCTTAAGGCTCTCTCTCTCTGCTCCCGTCTGCCCGCCTGCCTGTCTGCCCGTCACGTCACTCACACGGCCGCTTCACCACCACGAGTATGTCCCTCATCAGATAGACATTCTTCCCGCCCGCAAACTCATATCGCCCCGCGGTGGCACACTCGGCTGCCTCGGTGGTTGCGCTTGTCCCCCGTGTGTGTGCCTCATCTGCCCTCTCGTTGATGCGCACCACCTGCAGCCCCGCCCGGCCGACGAGCGTCGTCACCATCTCCCGACACATGAAGTAGAAGCCGCCCACTGAGTATTTCTTCTGCCGAGCGAACCGAGACCAACCACCACTGCACAAAATCACACACACACACACACAAACATGTTCGTCTATTGTGTGTCTGTCTGTGTTTATGTGTGTTGTGTGTGCTGTGCCGGCGTCCGTCAGTACGGTGAGGTGAGATCAGCGAATGAGAGGAAGCAGAGGCCTCCGGGCTTGAGCGACCGCCGGATGTGTGTGAGGTAGGTGAATGTGACGTGCAGGTCCAGATGCGGGAAGACGTCCACACTGTACATGACGTCAAACCTGTGTTGGTTAAACGAGAGACACACAACACACACATCAGCCACGACCACAGGCATGGCATGGCGGCCTGCCAGTGAGTGTCGCAGACAGACCTCTCCGTGTAGCTTGGTGGCAGATCGGGGCTGTCGAGCAGATGCAGGTCGACCGATGGCATGGCGGCATCATCCTCTGCTGCTGCTGCTGCTGCTGATGTTTCAGGAAAGGGCGGGCCTGTCCGAACTCTAGCAAGGTCTCTCAACGCCTGCAGCGCACCAGACAGAATGACAGCCAATACACCTGTGTGGTTGCTCCATCCATCCATCGCACCTGTTTGGCCTTCTTGAGCATCTCGCTGCTGATGTCGAAGGCCACAAGCGTGTCGATAGCAGCCAGGCCGTTCTCCTCCCTCACCGCCCCTCTATTCTTTGGAACCCTCCTGAGCAGCTTGGACGCCACACGCGCGCCGCCTACACCAATCTCGCCCACAGTGAGGCCACTCGTTTTGCCACCGTGCTGCTCCCGAGAGAAGAGCGGCAGCAGCCAATTGGACACGATCTCATCCAGCGACTGCTCACACACATAGGTGCAGACAGTGTCTTCATACTTTAAGGCGGTTTCTGTCCATCATGTGTGTGTTTTCTGACCTTTGTGTCCGACCACTCGCTGCCCAGGAGGGGGACAGACAGGTCATGGTGCTCATCATCCGCGGCAGTCTCTTGAGAGCTACCACTGGCGGTCTGCTGCTGCATCCGCTGCACCCAGGGCTGCTCTGCACGCCAGCTCTTGGCATACTGATGATGAGGGAGATGTGGCACACACAACACAGAATGCACAGAATGGATGTGTGGTGCTTGTGAATGCAGTCGTGATTGCATTGCGCTTGCCTCGTTCCACAGTTTTTTGTTTGTTTCGAAGTTGCCCGCATCTGAGTATACCACAGCGCTGTGGCACACAGACACACACACAGACAGACAGTAGAATGAGCTCATCTATCTATGGCCTTTTTCATGCCCGCTGATCTGTCACTGACTGACCTGTTGAGTGTCTGCACGAGCTGCACGAGAAGAGGGTTGCCGCCGCTGGTGGACTCGGCGCCCTTCAGCCTGTCCTCAAACGACTCCACACTGTCCTCCTCCATCGTACCCAAGCTGGTCCTTCTCGCCCCTCAAAACCCAAGCCGCTTAGGGTGCTGCATGAAACCGCTGCTGCAAACCCACAGGAATAGGGATTGGGCTGGATACGCGGAGTCGCCGAGAATGGCAGGAAGGATGCTCGATGCTGTGTTTTTGCTTGTCATCATCGCATCATTCGAGGTCTTGAACTCATCTACCTCACCACGCCAGACGTGTGTGCGGTGTGTGTGTGTCAGGTGCTCGCTGTTCAATCCGACATCACCAAGGCCATGATCCTTCGTGAGGTTCAAGAGCTGAAGCAGCAGAGCTCTCAACTGGATGAGAATTTCAAGCTGGCGACCGCTGCCCAAGATGCCATCATCCGCCAGGTGCACAGTAACAAGCGCCATTACGGAGCTGAATCGGGCGCGGTCAGTGGCCTTGTGGGTGGCGCCATCCTTAGCGCTGTAGGCCTCTCGCTTTTCAACCCCATGGCGAGCGCACCGACCGTGTTGCTCACGACGTTGGGGGGCGGTGCGGTTGGTGGAGTCACTGGCGGTCTCACTGGCGGCATCACTGCGGACGCATACGTCAAGCGACACCTGCCTGACTGCGTGACGGACGAGTGTGTGGATGCAGTGCTCGGCTGGGCCACAGGATTTGGCTGCCTCACTGGAGCGATCGCTGGTAGTGCTGCAGGCGGAGCCACGGGGACATTGGCTGGTTACCTGGGCAGTCGGCCTTAGGTGCTCGAGAACCTGAAGGCCCAGCTGGCCGGCCCGCCGGGACAAGCTATCACGACTGGGATAGGAGCTGGGATAGGCCTGGAAGGCTTGCAGTTCGCGAAGGAACGAATCCGCAAGATGCACCTCAGAATCACTCATCGCGCCGAGGAGCTTGAGCGCATAGCCCTTCAGCAGTAAGGGAACGGGATGCGCGTGTTCTACATTTTGTGTGTGGTGCGTCGTGAAGAGGTGCCTTTCGTGGCATATGTCGCATGAGATTCGTGTGCGTGTACGACTGTGTCGGGGGAATTGTGGCCGATTTTTTGCGGCCATCGTTATCGGCCACTTTGTACACGCGCGCGGTTTTGCGTGGTGGTGTCTGCAAAGCCGTGGGGCGTCTGTCTTTGTGACGCTTCCATGTCTTGCATCTCTCCCGTGTGTGCGGTGTGTATCGGTAGCTAAGAGGGATGTGCGGGCTTGACGGACTGATGTGTGTGTGAGACGAATATTCGAGTGCGGGCATTGCTCAGTGAAGGACATCACATCAATGGATGAAGTGTCTGATACGTAGGCATCACAAGGGACGAAACTGACAGCTCACCTGCACAATGTCAGTCAGCGTCCCCATCCCATATATCTCTTTCGACACGCGCCGAGCCGGTCCGCCCCACCATACGAACCACCACCCATGCATCCACCAGCTAAGTAAGTGCTGTCTGTCGGTTGGTCAGCATCGTTCGAAGATCTTGTACAGACGCTCCAAACTCGTCAGCAACACGATGGTGCGATCGCTCTCGTAACTGAAACACAAAGTAACCAATCACACCTCAGATCAATCACATCCACTCACTTCTCTCAGGTCGTGCCTTGCCCACCCACTCACTCACTCAATGATGTGCGCCCTTACCTGTCGGGCACTTTGAATGTGTGGTTGAACCGCAGTGCTTTGTACCACACGTCCTCCATCAGCCGACGGGTGCTCTCACACACCGCATGGCGGGTCCGCCTCTCACCGCCGCCGCCACCGTCCTTGCTGCTGCTCGACCCTCCCCCTCCCCCACTTGAAGCCGCAGCAGCCGCAGCAGCGGCAGCAGCTGGGGCACTCGCGCTGGCACTAGCACTCGCTGGGCCGGGGCCGTTGTCGTCATGGGTGTGGTGGTTGCTGTCTTGCGGCGGGAGTGGGACGAAGAAGTAGGTGAGCAGTCGGCAGATGTCGGTCAGGCGGTCCTCCTCGCAATCCCAACGCACCTGCACGACATGACAACCAGATAGACAGACAGACGGAGGGCTGAGAGAGAGAGTGTGTGTGTGTCGGTGAGTGTCATGATGTTGGCTGCTGCCCACCTGTACAGCCAGGCGGAGTACCCACAGAGGGAGGCCGTCGAAACCGGGGAAATACCTGGCGGCACAGAAAGAACCACCGTCACATCAGACGCCGGCGCTTGTGTGTGGCTGGTCACTTACTGTCTGAGGCACTGTGGGAACTGGCGCAGGTGACCATCCTGACACCATACGCACACACACGGGCACATGACACCGTGGTGTGATATTCATTGTCTGTCTGTCTGTCTGTCCGTGCCCAAAGTACCCGTATGTCGATGGCGAAGTAGTCCCGCAGCCACCGAGAGTGACGCTCGAGCCGCGACGCACATTCAACCTTCTTCGCACTTAACCACAGACCACACCACAGACACACCACAGACACATGATCTAATGGACAAGATGTGTGTGTGTGTGTGTACTTGATTCGTTCCTCATCCTGCTGCTGTGCGGCGTCTTGCCCGTTGTCCTGTGCTGCCTTCTTGATCCCAGCCATAGGGTCGTGCAGGCCGAAGTGCAGGAGGTCACTGACTGGCAGGGGCGGGTCGATCTTGACAGCCGGGAAGCGGCCGATGCGATGCAATATGGACTGATACACACACTCTGCACATTACATACACATACCCACACAGACACAGACCAGCACGAGAGTTGTCTCCAGGCCATGCCTCAGATATCTGTCCATCCCCAGCCCCACCAATGATCGGTGTAGTGTGGTGTACCTCTGGTGAGTACGAGGAGGTTGACGAGGTACAGGCAGCTACGGTACTGCAGCAGCGCCATCTGCCGGTTGACGCTCCCCACCCACACCGATTGCGTCACCACCTCACTCAGCCGACGGCCCTCCGACCCACTGCACGCCGCCTCTACCGCTCCCACGAGCTTCGACAGCCCCGGAGGAGCGGGGGGCGGTGGGGCCGGAGGAGTGGTGCTGCTACACACATGCTCTGACAACTGAATGAACACCAGAAGCACAGCACACACACGAAGGGAAGGAGACGGCGTGTCTGTCTGGCTGCGTACGTGTCGCCTCTCTCTGCATTGTCTCTTTGAGTTCAGTCACCTCACCGGTCTCATCCTGAGTTCAGCGGGTCTCGGCAGCGGCTGCCCCACTCCGATGCCCCCGCCCTCCCTCATGGCCACAAACGCCCTCAGTGACGACTGCTTGGGGTCGGTGCGCACCCTGGCCGCCTTGGGACCGGACTTCTTCTTGCGCTGTGGCTGCTGCTTGGCCTGCTGCTGGGGCTCCTCGTTGTCGGCCTCCTCGCCGTTGTTGTCGCCATCGTCTTCGGCGAGGAAGTCGATGGGCGGCGACCGCTCCCGCTTCCGTTGGGGGGGCCGCGGCAGCAGGGTGGTTTGGCGGAGGTCGAAAGTGCGCGACTTGGGGTATGACTCGAGGGACGACTGACACACACACACACACACACACAGAGAGAGAGAGAGAGAGAGAATGGCAATGGTCGATGTGTGTGTGTCTGTGTGTGTTGGATGCAGGTAAGGTACCTGTAGGGTTTTGATGACGTGTGAGATGATGTCGTCTTGGTAGAGGAACTTGACCTCCCGCTTGGTGGGGTGCACGTTGACGTCCAGCGTCGTGGCCGGCAGCTCCAGCGACAGATACACCCACGGCTTGGACCCGCGCGGCAGCAGAGGCTCATACAGGTTGTTGATAGACTGCCTGCACAGGCACACACAGACATATATACGATGAAGGGGGACAAGCAGTAAGGTCTGGTCTGCTGGCCTATGTCTGACTCTCTCACTTGAGTGGCTGGCAGTCGACGGATCGGTTGTTGATGAAGAGGAAGAAGCCGCCCTTCTTGGGCGCATAGTTGGCGTGGTTGGCCAGCCCTCTCCCCTTCACAGCACACCGGCCCCCACCACCACCACCACCACCACCATTGCCACTACCACCGCCACTACTGCCGCCCCGCCCTCCACCCTGTTGCTGCTGCTGCTGGGAGCTGTCGAAGGTCACGTCCATGAGCTCTCTCGCCAGGCTGGTGCCCATGAGCATCGACACCACGTCGCGAGGGCCCGTGTTGTCCCCGCCAGCCGTGCTCAGGTCGGCCGCATTGCCGCCATGCTTCTTGACGGTGAAGGCCACACACGAGTGGTGGATGGCGAACTTCTGCACCACGTCCAGGATGAATTTGGTCTCCTCGCCGGGCGATGACAGCGCCTGCCTGCGGGCCGGCATGTTGTAGAAGAGGTCTTCGTATGCGATGGTCGTGCCCTGGGTGCCCGCACAGGCGCGGGGCGGCTTGTTGTCCGCCAGCTTGCCGTCGACGTAGGAGGCCGTGTAAGCACAGGGGGATGTCGCCACCTTGCTCGTGATGGTCACGTGCGCCACGTGGCTCAGCGACGCGAGCGCCTCGCCGCGGAAGCCGAAGGTCGCCACCGTGCGCAAGTCACCGATTGCCGAGATCTTGGAGGTGGTGAACCGCTCGCAAACAATGGGCAGGTCGTCAGGTTGAATGCCGCTGCCGTCGTCGGTGATCTGAGCGCCCTTGATGCCGCCCTGCTTGAGGTAGATCTGGATGGAGGTGCTCTTGGCGTCGAGGCTGTTCTCGATGAGCTCCTTGAGGGCTGCGGCGGGACGCACCACCACCTCGCCGGCAGCTATGCGGTTGACGACGCACTCGGGCAGCCGATGAATGCTCGCGGCGCCGCCCGATGAAGCGGCGGAAGATGACGCTGCTGCCGCTGCTGCTGCCGCCATAGCAGAGGAATGCAATGGAATCCTCTCCTCAATCAACCAAGGAGAAAAAGCAGCGGTCTCAGAGGTGCGAGCTCAAAGTGGACATCCTCGCGGAGGATGATCCTCCCGCACGCAGATACGTGCTCTGTGCGCAGCCGGCAATCGCATTCGTTGACTGACCCATTTCGAAGACAGATCTGCCCCATTCCAACGGTCAGCCGTTGGGAGTAAGGAGGTGGCCAAATCACAAGGAGCGGGAGGGCCTCTGGGAAAAGATGCACTTCAACACACGTACCACGATTCTGCTGTCATTGGTGCGGTCATGGCTGCTACCGAATTGTATTTGATGCGCCCCACACTGGGCAGCACATCTCTGCTGCTGGGGCTCCTCGTGGTTGCGGCCCTCACAAGTGAAGACACACACACACACACACACAGAGAGAGAGAGGCAGCAGCCACACAACACTAGATGGGAGAAAAAAGGGCGGGCAACTGTACTTTGTGTGTGTGTGTGTGTGTGTGTGTGTGTCAGCTGTGAGTGTCGGCCATGAGGGGGATCATGGCGAGGAGCAGACGAAAGGCAAAGAGGATGACGGCGGAATAAGCCACAGTGGTACACATCTGAAAGGGAGGGAGAGAGGGAAGACACACACACACACACCCAGACTGCACAGCAAGACACATCGCCCGCCCTCGTGTGTGTGCACTGCAGCGATGGGTCACACCCGAGCCGAGCTGACAAAGGCAGTGGACCTCAACCCAGACAAACACATCTATGAGGTGGGGCGAGGGCTCAGCAACACTGCCTGCCACTCGTGTGTGATTGTGATGCCTTCTGCGCGTGTGTGCGTCAGGTGAATCTGACGGCGTCCGTGATAGAGTGGGACTATGGGACGGACAGCAACATCACCGCATGGGCATACAACGGACAGGTGATGGTGATGACAGAGAGCGATGGATGCCCCAGCCGACACACAGACCTGCAGTGTGCTCTCTCTCTCTCTCTTTTGTTGGTCATCAATCAGGTGCCAGGGCCGTTGCTGGAGGCCTCCCTTGGGGACAGGGTGATCGTTCACTTCCACAACGGCCTGCCTGAGCCGTCGATGATCCACTGGCACGGCCTGGAGGTGCCCGCCAACATGGACGGCAGCCAACGGGCACAGAAGGAGGTGCCCCCGGGGGGGTACTTCAGGTATGACTTCACCCTCACGCCGTCCATCTACCACTCGTCCTCGGGGCTGCTGGCCTTCTACCACTCACACTTCAACACACATCAGCAGATTGAGAAGGTGAGTGACTACGACGGGAGGGACGGCGTGGCGTGAAGGTGCGGACATTTGTAGGGGTGCGTGTTGTTGTGTTGTCCTTCTGTCTGTCTGTCAGGGGCTGCATGGCGCGTTCATCGTCCGTGACCCACAAGAGGAGGCCCTGCTCGGTCTCGACAGTCAGCAGTATGACGAGCAGGTGCTCGTCCTCGATGACATACTGCTGGTACCCTCGCACAACACAACACAGCAGGGGTTTGCGGCCCTGCCCTTCCCACCGTGTGCTCCTTTCTCTCTGTTGCACCCACTGCACAGAACGAGACATCAGGCCGGCTGCACTCGTTCACACCGTACACCGACGACCCCCACAAGACACTGGAGGAGCTGCACAACGGGCGGGAAGGCAACTTCCTGCTCGTCAACGGCAGGAGCGCCAAGAGCGGCCTGGGGCGGATGGTCAAGAAGGGCCGCGTGCAGCGGCTGCGCATCCTGAATGCGGCCAACGCGCGGTTCATGCGGCTGAGCCTGGAGGGAGGGGGGAGTGGGGGTGGGGGCCAGCTATGGCAGGTGGGATCCGACGGGGGGCTGATGGAGGCACCCATACACATCATGCGGGATGAAGACATGCACATGGACATGGACACCAGGGAGTGGACGCACCACGGGCCAATCCTCCTTACACCAGGTGCGATGGATGGATGGATGGTCTGCATCTCATCTCACGGCGTGCGTGTCAACAAACATTTGCACGTCTCTGCATGGCATGTGAGTGAGTGTGTGTGCAGGTGAGCGTGTGGATTTGCTGTGGAACCCTCCTGCCGAGTGCGACACCGACTGCCCCCGGCTCGTGTGGCACGACATGACACGAGGGAGGATCAAAGCAGCACTCTCAATCAACGGCACCGAACACGACAATGATCAAGAGCATGGCCATGATGACGGCAAGATGGCCCACAGCCACAGGAGGTTGAACCTCCTTCGCGGCGGCACCAGTCGCCTGCTGCAAGAAGATGATGAAGAGGACGAGCAGGACTGCATGATGGACGGCATGAGCGATGGTGAAAGAGATGATGAGATGGCTGGTGCAGCCAGCGACCACGTCCATCATGGCGGAATGGGACGAGGGAGAGGCCTGCACATGGGGCATATGGGCCAGATGGGGATGGGCGGAGGTGGCCACATGGGCCACATGGGAGGGATGGGCGGCCACCACGACGAAGACGACGAAGCGGAGGGCACAGATGATCACATCCATCATCACGGCGGCATGGGCGGCATGGGGCTCGGCCATATGGGGAGGAGAGGAGGGCACGGCGGACACATGGGCGGCGGCGGCGGGATGGGCGGCCATGGGCCTGGTCACGGTCACGACGGCAGCACCGGTGATGATGAGGACGACGGCGGCCACCACATGGGCCCCGGGATGGGCGGCGGCAAGGGATGCAAATGCCCTCACTGCCGACACGGCCCCTCACACGACCATGGTGGCAGCCCGCATGGCGGACATGGCGGCCACGGGGGTCATGGGATGGCGCCCGACCCCCATGACGGGCACAAGGCCGACGAATCGCTGATGACCTTTCATGTGGAGGATGGAGGGACGGGGAAGAGTTCTCGGCTGCTAGCTGCTGGCAGGAAGGCGTTTTCGCCTCCCGCCCGGCTTGTGGAGATACCGCAGCTGGAGATGGACACAGACACGCCGATGCTTCACGTGAGCCACAGACGGGACGGCCGGAGAGGCTGTGTGGTGCACTGTGGGGGCTGTGCTGTGTTGTGGTGCAGGTGGAGTATGGGCACTCGATGCCTGAGGGCGAGACGGGTCAGCTGTCCTTCTGGATGATGTCCAGCGCCGAGGGCGAGCCGCTGCCCAACATGATGCTGACGGCGAGGCAGGCGCCCCACTTCTACGTCAACGACACCGTCATGATACACGTCAACAACCCCATGATGGCGTGGCACAACTTCCACATACATGTACGCGACGCGCGGACACAGATGAGACACAGCCGCCATACCACACACACACACACACACACGCTCCTCTCCTTTTTGCAGGGCTTCAAGTTTCAGGTCATTGAGGTAGCCCAGTCAAATAGCTCTCACGGCCATGCGCACACCCACGCCACTGCCGACAACCACACCCACACCCCCGTCATGCACCACATGCCGCCGCCATCCGAGCAGCCACGGCATTGGAAGGACACAGTGGCAGTGCCGCCCAGCTCATCTGTCAAGGCCCTGGTGCACTTCACTGACGAGGGCCGTGCGGGGAAGGTGTCGGCGTTCGGGGCAAAGAGCGAGGGCGAGAGGAGTGGGGGGTGGCTCTTCCACTGCCATATGCTGGTGAGCACGTGTAGCAAAGATGGCATGGCGAGATGCCTGATGTGTTGTCAATATGTGTGTGTGTGTGTGTGTGTGGGTGTGTGTGTGGGTGTGTGTGTGGGTGGGTGTGTGTGTGTGCAGGAGCATGCGGCAGCAGGCATGTCTGCTTTTTTCCAGCTGACAGAAAGGGACAATGGCGATGGCGAGGAGGGGGGAGAGGGGAAAGGGGCGGACGACGGCGGCCACCCTCACGACATGATGGGAGGCATGGATCACGACGGCCACCCTGGGGGCCACCACCACCACATGGATATGGGCCTGTAGATAGATGTGTGCGTATGTGTCTGTACGCACCGACACCTCACCCTCTGTCAATACCATCGACCTGATACCTGACTTGTCCGTCCTCGCTCAGCGGGGCGTTAGCTGTAGCTCTAGAGGGGTGATACTGTATGTGTGATGCGCGCATCTGGGGCTTGTGCGCACGCATTTTTGTAGTGAGTCCGCAGGGCAGACGCGGGAAAGTGTTTTGGTGCATAGCCTCCATTCATGTGTTCAACCGTATGGCTGCATGGATGGATGCGCTGCACACACACGAGGGTGCATGCCATGCCATGCCGGCTCTGAAGGGGCTGAGAGAGAGGCGGTGTGCCCTGTTTGTTGGTCTGTGTGCACACGTGTGTGTGTTTGGTGGGCTGACCGACTGCATGTCTCTGTGCACGTCCGTGTGTGGGATTGATTAGTGGCTGAGGCGGTGTGTCAGGCGCGGTGCGAGCAAAGCTCCAAAATGGCCGGCCGGCCGGCCGGCTGCACTTGATTCATGGTGTACACAACGTTCCAGGTGATTTAATCAGAAGAGGAGACACGAGCTCGTGTGTTCGTCATGTCATTCATGTGCTTTGTGTCTTGTGTTTCTGCAGACAGGCAAGGCAGCACACACGAGCGGCTGTGGACGTCTACGACGAACAGCCTAGCCTCTTTAGGTAGAGCGACTCGGCTGCGTTCCATTTGTGTGCACATGCACCTCTTTATTTCATTTAATTAGTCAGGACTAATTGCAGGTATGAAATCCCATACACACGCAGTCACACACACACACACTCACTCACTCCGGGAGTCAGAATGCCATCCATCCATCCATCGATCGACTGTAATCGACAGACAAAAGGGGAAAGCACCGCACACGCACGTACGCCTCGTTGTCCGTCGACTGACTGCACAGCTAGACTTGGTTGCTATTAGCGAGGGGCTGAAAAACGCCCTCTGGCTCACGCATCGATCGCATCGACCACTGCTCTGCTGCTACTGCTACTGCTGCCGATCGATCTGATCTACCCTTGTAGCCAGCTAGCTAGACACCCCAGCCCTCCCTCCACCTACACAGCGACACCCACCCATCCCCCTCTTGGCTCGGCTCGGCTCATCTATTTGAATGCCTCCCTGACGAGTTCCTTCTGCTTCTTGGTGAGTTTGTCGGGGAACTTGATGTGAAAGGTGATGAGCAGGTCGCCGAATGAGCCCTCCTTGCCGCCCCGCACGGGCATGCCCTTGCCCTTGACCGTCATGGTCTCGCCGTGGTCCGTCACGTCGTCCTTCTTGAGCGGGAAATCCTTGCCGTCCAGGTGCCGGAACTGAGTCTCGAAGCCCACCAGGGCGTCGAGCAACGGAATCTCCACCGTCGTCAGCAAGTCGTTGCCGCGACGCACAAACCTGACAGACAGGCCAACGGACAAAAGAGAGACGGAGAGAGAGTGATGGAATTATGTGTGTGTGTTGGTGTGTGTACCTGTCGTGCTGTGTTTCGGTAACGACAAAGTTGAGGTCTCCCGGCTCGTATCCGACTTTGTGGTCGGCGACGCCCTCGAAGGTGATGGTGTCGCCGCTGGTCATGCCGGCCTCGACATAGGCGGTGAGGAGCACGGGCTCCTCCTCAGTCTGGCCCTTGGGACAGGCCTTGCACTTTTTCTTCCATGCCTTGCCCGGCCCCACACAGCTGTCGTCCTGCATCTGGTTCTGCACAATGAAGCCCGGCCCCATCTGCTGCGTCACCACCCGCAGTCCCGCCCCCTGGCAGTCGCGCCGGTCCACCGTGCACTCGTCCACGTTGACACACAGCACCTGCCGACGATAGGTGACGTGGAAGAGCTCCCCGAAGTAGAGCTGCTCCAAGGTCACACGCAACTTCATGTCCAGATTAGGCGTCTTCTCCTTCTCGCCCCTACATAAACAGAGAGGACGGTTGGTGTGATGATTGATCTGGTCTCTGTGTCTGAGGGTACCTGCCCTTCCGTCTCCTGCCGCCGCCGAAGCCGAAAGCAGAGAAGATGTCAAAAGGGTCCATGTGGCCTGACACATACACCAACACCACACACATGGGCTGCACTGCACTGCCTTGGACTGCCCTCGCTAAGCCACTCACTCTCTTGGTGCTGCTGCTTGAGTCCCTCCTCCCCGTGGTTGTCGTAGATGCTGCGCTTCTCATCGTCCGACAGTATCTCGTAGGCCTCGGCGATCTCTGCGAACTTCTTGCTGGCCTCCTTCTCGGGGTTCTTGTCGGGATGGTACTTCATCGACAGCTTCCGATACGCCTTCTTGATCTCGCTGGCGCTGCTCTCCTTCTTGACGCCGAGGATCTTGTAAAAGTCGCGGCCGCACTGGCTGAGCGTGGCGGACAGCAGCACGATCAGCGGCAGCAGGAGGGAGACGAGCCATGGTGGACAGGCTATAGATCTCGACGGAAACATCTTCCGTAGGCTACTGCAGAGGCTGCCAGCTGCGATATATTGCGACCCTTCTCCACGTCACTTACAAGCTCGCATGTGGAGAGGAACGAAGAAAAAGGAGCAGAGAGTTCATCATATCCCAGCATAATATTATGTCATTCAGAGATGAGTCATTCATTCTGTCACGGTTTGCTTTCCATGGACAAGTCGGCCCGGATATATATCCCACATACACCCCCTGCAATGTGACACCCACACAAGGCAAGGCAGCCAGCCATATTGATTGACTGACTGACACAGGCCGAAACGGAAAGACGGCGCCGCAGCCAAACACACGGACGGGAAGGCAATGAGTGTACCCATATACACAGCCAGTCAGTCAGCCAGCCAGCCAGCCATCCTCTCTCCCTCCAACCAGCACCGTCGCTACACCGCGTAACCTGACACGCAAAACCCGAGAAAACAATCGGTGCGAGAACTTTTGTTCAGTGATTGCTGGGTGCCTTGCTCCCTCACCCATCTATCGGTCGAAGATGCTCCGCGCAACAGCGGTCCCCAGCGGCACACGGGCCAGTCGGTGGTCACTGGATGGCGGTCCTTGAACGCCTCACCCGCACCAGCCACGGGCGGCTCAGTCGTGTAGACAGTGACGCCCACTGCACTCACACAAACGAAAAACAAGGGTGTGAGTGCTCCGTTTTGGGCTGTGCTGTCCAGTGCCATGCCTACCAGGGTCATCGACCATCGGCAGCTCCACAAGTCGGATCCACGCGACGAAGGCATGGCTGGCGTCCGTCAACACGAGCCGACGGTACCAGTTGACATCGTCGTTGGAGGCGTTGAGGAAGGCGGTGGTGCTGCTGCATCCCGCCACTGGTGCGTGGGGGGACTGCGTCATCAGGTTGTGCAGCCGATGGTTCTCCACATGCCTGACCACAACACCAGAGCCCGGCCCGCAGACACGGCATCACCGAGCGACACACGGTAATTAGGCTGAGGGCCCCATTCACCTTTCTATAATGTTTCTCGTTCTGTTGATTTGAGGATTGTACTCAAATTTGGAAACCACACGATCAGGACGATGTCCGTGACGGACGACGACAGAGATGAGATGCCGCAACCATGCATCTCCACCCAGCGGTACCCCGGCCGATAAGTCATATTGATCATGGCCGGCGGATCATCCTGCTGCTGGTGTGGGTTGTACCGAAGGGGCGGGTCGACGACCATCGACTCCCGGAACCACTCGAGGGTCTTGCCGCCGACGTTGATGTGGCGGCCTACGATCTTGTGGTGGGCCAAAACACGCGCATCCGCCAGAAACGCCTGCAGACACACCGGCCAGAAGAGGAAAAGGAGTTCAACGGTCATTCATCCTGCCTCCGTTCTTACCGTTTTGTTTGCGTACTGGTGGACGTCAGCAGCCGTGACGGTGAGGGGCAGCTGGCAACACCCACACTGCCCCGCCAGCTCAATCGCCCTACCCATCTTGCCCCAGCCCCCCGCATCCACCACACACATGGCCGCCAGCAGGTCCGCCACACCCATTTCCTGCTCATCGAACCGCAGAAACTCCACCGTTGTCTGCCCATTGACTACGCGCCGCAGCCCCGCCTGTGTGCTGAGGGCGTAGCTGAGCCGCTGCCGCAGCTGGGCCGCCTTGAAGAGTGCTCTGAGCCATCTGGATGTGCTTCTGAGGCGCATGATGTCGTCAAGGCTGAGCAGGAAGAAGCTGCGCCTCCCGACGCAGAGGTATGTCACGGGATTCTGCTGCTCCTCCTGCTCCTGTTGCTGCTGCTGTTGTTGCTGTGGCTGCTGTTGCTGTTGCTGCTGTTGGTGTGGTTGAGGGTTCTTGGGGCGCCACACCAGCCGCCGCCGGTTCTTGTGCGTGTGATGATGCTGCATCGCGACTTACTGAGACGAACCTCGATGAACCCAATGAGGCATCGGGCCGATGCGATACTTCTACGAGGCGGCAGCTTTTGCGAAGGCAATCCACTCGAAAGCTCGCATAATGCGGAGAAGGGAAAGGACGAAGGAGGAGGGGCTGTTGGTAGGCAGTTCACTTTTGAGTAAGTTTGTGCGATGGGCGCGTCAGCATCCTCAGTCAACAGCGGCAGCCTCGCCACCTCCGCCATCCTGGGGCTGGAGAGCTCCGTGGCGACGGCCCAGGCAGCTGCTGGAGGGGATCCAGCCGCCCTCAACGCTTTCCTGCGAACAGTAATCAATCGAGGCTCTGCCGTGTCAAATGCCGCTGCAATCACGGTAGCAACACACGCCGCACCACAGACACAGAGGGGAGGTATCGCAGCACGCCTGAATCTGTGTGTTCTCCCATCAGGTATCTCGCGGCCTCTCGCCGTTGCTGGCCACATCTGACGTGGGCTTTGCGGCGCTGCTTGCGCAGATAGAGCGGGAGCGCCGCGACGGCAACGACGAGGGGGAGTACGAGGATGATGAGTACCCCGACAGGGTGGGGCAGGCGTCCCCATGGCGGACGCGGCTGAAGCCCAAACTGGTCGATGGGTGGGAGGGGCCGGCGGGCGAGTTCCGCTGCCCCATTTGCCTGGACCTCATGGAACATCCGGTCATCACACCCTGCAAGTGAGCGGCAGGGAATGGGGAGGGAGGGAGGGAGGTGAGGCTGGGATCGTCTGTATGTGTGTGTGCGTGTGGGGCTGGCTGTGTGTTTCAATCAGGCATCTGTTTTGCGGCAACTGTTTGCTGACGGCCCTGTTGCGTCAGTCGGTGTGTCCGCTGTGCCGCGCCACGGCCTTCGTGGTGCAGCTGCAGCTGCTGCGCACAGATGCCACCAAGGACTCACAGGCCCTCTGGAAGGCATACAGTGCACTGAAGGTACGCCACAATCACCCCACCCACACACCCCATTCTACTGCACACGATGGATTTTGTTCTATGTCACAGGTGGAGTGTCCCCAGTGTTCATGGCGCGGCCCCCTCGCCGACTGGCCGACCCACCGCACACACCGCCGGTCCATCCTGTCATTCACCAAGCGGGCGTCATCCCCCGACTCCCACAACAAGTGCCAGTGCTGCAGATGCACACAGGCGCGCATCCATTCGCGCAGCAGCAAGCGAGAGGACGGTGAGCCGGGGTCGCCTGTGGGCGGCAAGTTCGTGCGTCAGCCGCTGCCAACTGGAGCTGGGGAGGGGGAGGGAGAGAGGGAGAGGGTGGTGGTGGATATGGATGAGAGGCCGGAGGGTCCTGTGGAGCGGCTGCTGGCGTGGCTGGGCAAGCGGCCTTTTGTCAAGGCATCCAGGTAAGTTACGTGGTTCAGAGAATGAGTGGGCTGAGAATGTCTGTGTTCTCGATGCGCCCGTCTTGGTGTGTGGGTGTCTTCTGTCGCATGCGACGGACGATAGGCTGATGGTTGTGTCGCATCGCATGGAGAATCCCGCCGGGGCTATCGGCGGGTTTATTCTAGGGTCACAGATCAGCCACACCCAGGTGAGCAGATCCAAACCGACACACATCGACAGACTCATGCACCCTCCTCACATGTGATCAGGCCGTGTTGGAGCTTCAGCTAGATGCCGCCAGCCGCCCGTCGTCACCCACAGATGGTACCCAGAAGGCCGTCACCTGGTACGCACAAGACACACACACACACTCTCAAGACACACGCGCAGCCTCCCGGACCCTGTGTGTGTCAGGTATCTGAGCCTGGAGCTGTTCATTGACGAGGGTCTGAAGTGGTGGGTGGGTCGCGAGTTCCCCGAGCTCCGCCCGTCGGCCTCCACGCTGACCATCTACGACAACCTCAGTCTGGACTGCGCGGCGCTCGTGGCCTTCGTGGTGGAGACGCGGGACCGCCCATACTCACTGCTCGACTGGAACTGCCAGACATTCGTCAACAAACTCAAGCGTGTCGCACGTGAGTGAGACTCAGCCCTGCACCCCTGCCCCCCACCCACATGAGCACCTCTGCTGCGTGTGTGTGTGTTGGCTCAGAGGTGGCTGAGATGCGTTGCACCATCCAGTCCATCCCCCGCCCCTTCAGCCGCGCCACCCAGCTGCTGCCGCTCCTCAACTCGTTCGCATCCTCGGGCATCATCCCAACCCAACTAGACCTTCAGACTGCTGCTGGCGGCACTGTGCGAGCCACCCAACAGCCGGCGACTTCTGCTACGGTGGCCGCTCGTGTGGGGAAGGTGTCGCTGTGTCTTTACCCCACAGAGGACCGCAATCGGCAGTCACTCAGGCCCGCCGCCCAGCTCACTCGAGGCGTGATGGACGTCATCACGCGGGCATTGGCGGGCGCGGCAGCCAGCGCCGAGCGAATCCGATCCACAGTGACGGCACCCACATCGGCCGATGCGGAGCAGGATGACACTGGTGGTGAGCCGCCGCAGCACCAGCCGTCGTCGGCCATGATGAGTGCCCACGAGGATGAAGACAACGTGTCGGTGACTTCCTCCATGTGTATATCGGCGAGGAGCGCACGGTCGGAGGCCTTCAGCGGGCGGCAGGTGGCACTCAGATACGACACACTGCCGGTGAGGGAGGCAAGGAGCCGAGAGAGAAGAAGGGAAGGGAAAAACGAACGACATCCACCACGAGGATCTCTCTTCTGTATCTGTCTGCCTGTCTGTCTGTCTGCTTCCAGGTGGTTGTTCTGGAGCTGCAGTCGACCTCCCCCCTCCCACCGCCCCCCTCCTCTCCCCACCGCAGCACCAGTGTGGCACCAACCCCCTTCACGCCCTCACCCTCCACCGCCACCTCCAGCAGCAGCCACGGCCACAAGTACATCACCCATGGCTACCTCAGCCTTGAGTTTAGGTCCGACAGCGGCCTCTTTTGGCACGTCTACGCCGACAAGCCACAGGCGCTGCGATCATCGGAGCTCGGCGAGGGGAATGGTGTGTCAGTGGACGGGGGGTACCCAAAGGTGGCCACGTGCGAGACCGATTTCGGCGTCGGGAAGCTGGTCGACTATCTGGAAGGCATCGAAGAGAAAGAGGTGCCTGAGCGGACGGGACAATGGGTGCACATGTCACATCCTGCCTGGCTGCATCTCTGCTTTGCGTGTGGTGTGTTGGTGTGTGTCAGTATCATCCGGTTCACTGGAGTTCCTGGTCATTTCTCGAGGGACTTCTCACGCACTGCTGCCCCGCACAGGCAGCCGACCTGTTGGCGGCCGAGTTCGGCTCATCAGATGATGCCTCAGAGGGGCCACACACCGCCAGACAGACAACTATCTGAGAGAGTGGCTGAGAGGTCCGATTCGTTTTTTGTTTTGGGGATATGGGATATGGGATATGGGGGACGGCACAGCCTTTTTTGCTTTTTTGCTGAGAGGCATTTTCGCTGGCTAATTTTGTGGCGTGGACCAACCACATGGCTGGGCCGGGCGGTGTGTGTGAGGCTCATACACATGCATGAGCGCATGCATGCGGTGGAGACTCATGTGATTTGTCGGTTGGTTGAACCACGTGCACGGCTCTGCTTGACACGCTCCTGCACTATCACTCAGTCAGTCACTGCACCATCGCTGACGTCTACGCATCGGTATTGAGTAGCTTTCACCATGACCAGACCATGCATCTGACCTATAGTCATCAACGTACTCGCACACAGGCAGAAAGGCACCACACGACATGCATCCTGACGCAAACCGAACAGCCGATCAGACGCAATCGGTATTCGTCCCAAGCTAGCTGTGTCTACAGACATACACAGTCAACCCAGCAGTAGCGCTGCCCGTAGCTCGCTGCCCGATGAAGAATGCCCTGCTCTCCCTCTTTTGAGAAGACAACAGAAGGCCCGGTCACTGCCTGGCCGCCGGCCGAATTTGCAGATGGCCGAGAGATGGAAGAGGGATACCATGTAAGTCGTTTTTTGGGTGGAGTCTAGATGGACAGACGGGGCTTTGTGAGCACTTTAAATCCACAAGTGCAGTCGACCAAAAGCCAAGAAAACGGCTTTTATGCCAGTACCCGAAACGATCCCCCGCCAGCCCCGCGACGCAAAAAGGTCCCCCACCTTCCGCTGGACAGCTGCAGCTGCTCAAGCGTTCATGCATGTGTTCGTGCAGCTGATGGGCGCCAGATATCCCAGGCCTGCAGAGCAGAACGAGCGCGGAGGTGCTGGGGGGTGGCTTCCTCTTCAACACTCCAGCTGCAGTATGCCTTGACTGAGTTCATGCATTTGGCACGTCTGTCTTCCTCGCCAAGATATGGTAAGCGAGAGATGGAGCTGTAGTTCAAAGGTTCATCCCCTTGTGCACTTTGCCTTTGTCAATCACAGATGGATCAGCAAATCGGCTCGTGTCTCCGCAGCAGCAGCAGCAGCAGCAGCACCCCCCCCGCCCTTGGGGTCGCTCATTTCCCCTGTCCCTCTTCGACAGCCATCCCCACGCCCTCTCTCTTTGCAGCGAGCACTCGGCAGTGACCCAGCGACGGCAGTTGCGGCAATGCAACGTTATCAGGATGCCTTCTGCGAGTGCCAAATGAGGATGATGAATTCATGCATTTCTCACCTTCCTGTGTCGCCACGGTGAGGGAGAAACAGAAGGCCGTCTGCATGGCATCCATCCATGCCATCCGCTGTTGCTGTGGGTCTGCTGCAGTCACGCATCGATAGCACCACCGGCAGCCGCAGCAGCAGCGTGCACCCCAAGGTGCACCCTCCTGCCCATCGAGAGATTCGCGTCTCTCTGCCCTTTTCCCTCTTCCGCCGCCCTTCACCCCACGCTCTCTGTGCTCGCCTAAAGCGGCCACCGCTAGGCAGCGGCCCGACCCACGGCAGCTATGGCAATGCAGCATCCAAGGAAGCATCAAGAAGAGGGCCTCTAAGAAGCAGCTTTGCAGCGGATTGAAGGGAAAGAAGGGCAGCCGGGCGACATGGGCAAGGATGGATGGACGGATCGATGGACGGGTGTGGGACAGAGGAGATGCCGAGCTGAGAAAGAGACACACAGACAGACAATACATAGCAGAGAGACAGACAGAGCGATGAGCCGTGTTTGTAGCGTTTTTGTCTTGTGGGCATTGCTCTTTAAGTTTTGTGGCAAGGCCGATGGACAGACTGCAGACAGATGGATGAATGGATGAATGGATGAATGGATGGATGGATGGATGGACAGACACATGGATGTGAATGGGCGGTGTGGCGCTGACCTCCAACGAACGAACAAACAAACAAAATCCAATCCCTGGCAGCCGCCACGCCAAATGCCCACCACCTACACACCTGCCCACACGCTCACACACTCACCTGCCTGGCAGAACCATGAACACCAGCCGACGAGACAGCGGCGCCCGTCAGCCGAGCGGGTGGCTGCTCTCTCATCGGTAGTGTCTGGAAATGGCTGACACACACACACACACACACACGCATACACACAAGGAGTCAACGCGCACGCCTACAGTGAACAATGTGACTGTTTGTGTGTGGAAGACAGACACGTTCATTGAGCTGTGAATGTGTTGGCGCGTCCCTGATGCCCTCGTGTGCACGAAGTTTGTTGCAATGAGGCAAACACTTGACACGAAGTCATGACCATGAAATTGAGTCCGTCATGCAAGCCCAACCAGTCACGAATGACAATAAACCACCTGCGCAGCCAAGGCAGGTACATAAAGGAGCTCTCCACACCGCTGTTCTCACAACAAGCCCCATCTCGGCCCTCTCTCCCTCTCTCAATTGTATTTGGCTCGTCAAGAGCTAGTTCTTCACTCTGAACACGCTTCTCGAAGCTTCACTGGCGCTTGACTGGCGCTTGACTGGCGCTGTCCTCGCTTGATTTCGCCGAAAGACTGCTCCACTAACCCGATCGCCGTCTCGAGCTCGCTCCTTTTTTGCTTGCTCATCCCTCTTCCTGTCGCTGTGAATGCTCTGCATTCGAGTTCTCCTCCAGGTTTCTGTACTTCTCTCAGTGAAAGAGTGGCTGCAAACCAACGATCGCCATCGTGCGAGCTTTGAATTTGATTGGCCGCGTGCATTGAATCAGGGTGAGCTGTGCCTGCGTCCCAGGCACACCCGGACCACCCGTCGCTGACTCGCTGCCTCCCTGCCTGCCTGTCTGCCTCGCTGCCTCCCCCTCCCTGACTCCCTGCCCTGCCTACCTACCTGACTGCCTGCCTCCGCCTGCCGTTCCCTGCCTGCGGCGGCCCCACACGCACACACACACACACACGGTAAGCCACGACTCGTCGCTTCCTCTCCACTCCGGTGCCCCACACGATGAGCGAGGCACAGACACACAGATCAGCCTGTTGGCGTAGTCATTCACACGCACACGCAAGGCGGGGCGGGGCAGGGCGCCCAGAGAAAGAAGGACAGACAGTGGGGAGGGGGAAAAGACCGTCGGTATGAATGTGTATCTGTGGAGGTGTGTGTGTTCCTGGGTGCAGATGAGCCAGCGAGGCGAGCCAGCGTCTGCCGCCTCCGCTGCTGCTGCTGCCCCTGTTCCGCAGGGGCAGTCCGTATATCGGCAGGTCGGCCGATATTTGTACGAGGGCGACCGGCTGATCTACAGGATCAGCCGGGAGGGCGAGCACGTCCCATACGCCACCTACGAGGACGGTACGGACGGAACAGGACAGACAGGGGATGGCAAACCGGCACAGGAATGTGTGTGTGGATGTGTATGTCTTTCTGTAATGTAGACCCGTTTGCGGCGCTGGTTGGCGAGGACGAGGGAGGATGGACGCCAGGTACGCAGAGGATACTCATGCGATATGTTCTGGAACATCCCCTCTCCGTCTGTTGCTGGATGATGTGCTCGTGTCACCCTCACTCAGGACGCCGCACGCCGCCCACGCCCGTCACGCCGCCTGAAAGCCGCCCCAGACTCGCCAGGAGCCCCGCTGACCTGGTACGCGAGAAGCACCAGATGCGCGCGCGGTTCGGCGCATGACAAAGCCGTATGACGTGTCTGTGTATGGTGTGTGGTCATCAGGAGAGATGGCGGCTGGCAGATGAGGTTCGCATAAACAAGAGAGGAGTCGTTGGTGGGGGCATCTGTGAACTGTGGTGTGTCCCTGTCTGTGTGTGTGGTCAGCGGCTGGCGCGAGAGGAAGCCCGCCAGCGCGAGAGACAGCTGCAGGTACGGAGCTGAGAGGATGGGTGTGGGTGGTCAGGGATTTGTCTCTTTTGTGTGTCTTTTGTGTGCTCAGCCCGCCGCAGCAGCACGAGGAGGTGGGCCATCTCGCCCATTCGCGGCCACGCCCACCACGATGCACACACAGGTGGCAAGTGAATGGGGTGCAGAAGTGGGTGCATAGGGCGTTTGTGATGTGTGCGCTTGTGTGCATGTTGTTCAGGGTGCAGGGGCTCGCCAGCCACTCGCCCATCCACGGATGCACTGCCCCCCGATGGCCGCCTATGCCCACTTCGTACGAAACGACTAATTGAGGGCATATAAAGGCGCTCATATCGTGTTTTTCTTGTCTGTCAGCAGATGCATCCCATGGCCCGCACACAGCACACACGAGTGGTACGACAAGACGCATACGATTCCGCTCACACGTACGTGTATGTGTGTTTCCTTGAGCAGCCCATTCACCGTGTTCCCAGCCCGGAGGACGACTGCTGCTGGTTGTGTTCGTGCTGCCGCTGGCTGGCGGCATCCCTCTGTGGACCACAATCAGATAACAGTGAGCGCCCTGAGTGACTCACCGGCCATAGCATGCACCACGTGCATCGGTTTGCGTCGTTCTCTGTTGGTCTCCGTGTGTGTAGGAGCCTACAGCAAGAAGAAGAGCTGCTGCTGCTGAACACGGGATAGGGGGCGGGGGAGAGAGGGAGGGAGGGAGGGAGGGAGGGAA